GGCCAGCAGGTGGCGCCACACTCAAGCCACCCGCCAAAGGCATTCACGAGGGGGCTGTAGGCGCACAGGGGCTGGTTTTACCAGGGAGCCCTGTTAGGGCCATTCTCCCTACTGCCCCAGAGGGCAGGCAGGATGCTGCTGGCCCTGCTTCAATCAGAGCAGTTAAGAAAACAGATTGACTCAGCGCCCTGAAGAAGCCCCCTCTGAAAAATCTCCCATTTTTAGTCTACTGACCTCCTTCATTAACAATACTAACAGCTGGTGTATATGTAGCATCTGCTGTGTGCCAGGCACTGTGCCAAACGCTTTATGAATATCAACTCATTTGGTCTTCACAACAACCCTGGCAGAGGGACCACGATTGCATTTGACGGTGGAGGAAACTGAAGCAAACTGATGAAGTGACTTGTCCAAGGTCACCCAGCTAGTGAATTCAGGTCTTTCTGACTCCAGGCCCGGTGCTCTATGCGCTGTCTAGCCCTGCCTAGCTGCCTGTCTGTTACAGTAAGAATATCATGGAATATCTGGTAGGATAAGACTATTGTGGATGGTGCTAATTAATTGATTTTATTTCATCCGAGTTGGAAGGCTCTGTAGCGATGTACATTTGTGCAAAAGAAGGAGTGAATCAATAGGAAAGTAGTGAGCCAGAGTGAGGTCTTGACCAAGGGAGCCTTGCCCGGCCTTGGCAGGTAGGACAGCTCTCTGATGGGAGCAGCACAGCCTGGCCGGAACAGATAGCGTCGTCATCTGCAGCAGCTGAAGGAGCCGAAGATGTCACGAGAGATCATAGCTGGACAGAGAGATGTGTGGTCCCTTCGGCTTCCTGAAGCACGGTCAGATAATGCTCTCCTCTTTCTCCCGGCCCCAAAATGAGTCTTCCTTTTCCTGTGCAGAGGGGAAAGTCTTCCAGTGACATCCGCGTGGTCCTTTCAGGCCAGCCCCCAGGCTCCACTGTCCGAGCTCCCCAATCTTTTCCCAAATCTTCTCTGTGGCATTCTTATTTTACTTATTTATTTTTGTTGTTCTGTTCTTGACAAACGTATACTGAAGCCCAGAACAGAGAACAAATCGTGAATCTTTTATTATATACAGCTTGCGTTTAAAAAAAGAATGTAATCGATTCAGTGTGTTTGTTCCCAAGGCAGTCTCACTTGTCTGTCTGCCTTCTGAACCTCCTCCCATTCTCTTCTGAGAATTCTCTTCTGAGAATTCTCTTCCTATTCTATTCTTCTAAAAATATGCTACAGACTTTTTACTTTTTTGGCCTTCCTCTCACTAACCCCCTCTACCTCTCCAAAAACAAAAAACTTGGTATATTGTTAACAACCAAAGATAGTTAAGCAGAACAAATTCACACATCTGACAAATTAGAAAATGTCTATGCTTGATCCTGCCTCCACAGGGGCAGAAACACCCTATAGCCTCAGCCTATCATAGGGCTTTATCCCAACGATAAAAGCTTGTCCCCTCTCCAGCTCCCACAAGGCTTCATCTTTCTGACTACCTCTCACTCAGACATGCCAGGCCACTTTATTCCCCTTGTCTTCTCCAGGCACATCTGCTCATCTTGGGAATATTTGCTCTGGTCCCTTCCCATAGTAGCCCTTTATGCCTAGGTCACCATCCTCCCCCTCTCCCACTTGAAGGCTGCCAAGCTCTCTGTGCCGATAGCCCCTCAAACTCCACCTCCTCCGTGAAGCCTTCCCAGGTTGGTCACTGAAATGCTCAAAACCCTTCCTACACCCATCCCCTCACACTTTAAAAAAATCTTTGCAGTGTGTTAAGGGCTTTTGATTGACTAAATTGCACCTTTCATACATATTTCTTTTTCTTTTCTTTCTTTTTCTTTCATGCATATTTCATAGAATATTGTAGACTATGTTCCGTTCTGTTTGTCATCCCCTTACAAAGCTGCTCACTTCATGAGACCAGGCACCGTTCTTTACTTATTATTATTTTTTTAAATTTAAAATATGTTTTGGGTCTGGTTCTTTCTGTCTTGCTCAGGATGGGAGTGTAGCCATCACTCAGGGTGGGAAGTTACTCCCTCTGTTTCTGACCTGGGCCAGTTTGTTCCTCCTTACACAGCCTGGTGGGTCCCCTGAGCCATACCAGGACCCACCATATTGGTGCCAGACTTAGCATGGCATTTGGCCCCCTGAAACTAACTGAACACTCCTGAGCTCAATTGATCTACCAGCCTCAGCCTTGCCAGTAGCAGGGATTATTATTATCACCCAGTACTTACTGGTAGCCAACCAATAGCTTGCATTTATATTGTGTCTTAAAGTTTGCTAAGTGTTCTAGAGATGTCATCTCATTGAAACTTTCCATCTCTCCGTAGCATAATGTTGTACACAGAGTCCTGGTGCTTGATAAATATTGGATTAATTAAACATAGGTCTTGATTGTTGATTCGAGTTAGGGACTGGACCTGGGATTTATCATGAGGTGAGGAAAATGCCAAAACATGTCAGCGTCTTCTCTGCTGGAGCACTCTGAGATTGAATGACTTACCCGGGGTCTCACAGTGTCTGAGGTGGTATTTGGCACATTGCTTCTCTCGTTCCTGCATTCAGAGGAAAGGCCCGGTAGTC